TTTTTAAATTATTGTAGAAATAGAATACGAACAATAAAAGTAAGAAACATTAATCTTCATAAACGTCAAATTTTAAATTCTAATTTTCTTGTACGCGTTTAAAAAAAAGAGAGAGAGAGAGAAATTTTCTTTATAATAAAATTAATTAATAAACAATGAGGAGAACAATCTGATTACAAAATGTGTAAACAAAACTATTTGCCGTCGGATCGCTGCCTCGATTATTACAATAATCCCAGCTAAAACTGCGGTCACGCTCGTAGTTAGGATAACGTCAATCAGCCGTGATTAGTAAATTTCGTTGGCCATACGCTAATTTGTTGAGCTAACCGAGTAATTTCTCCTCCATTCTATAATAAGCACAACAAAAATGAGGTAAAGTTTGTAATTTTATACGAGAAAATCGACGTTTAAATTGAGATATTGTACGCCATTTCTTCGGCAATGTTTGAGAAAAGTCAAATTTTCTTTTTTCTTATCGTCATTACTTTTATAGGAGTAGATCGCACGTAAACATTGGCAATATTGCGTAGAAAAAATATATATATTTTTTCTTCCCCCCCCCTTCTTAAAATGTCACCGAGACGTATTACGTAGAATATTTGTTGAGATATGAACGGGAGAAATGGGCGAGTTTGAGCGTAGCGATATCTCTAGTTTAATTAGAAAATTAAGATAAATTCATGATGAATTGCACTATTTTACACATCATCACTAATTACCGATTTGTAATTATGTTAGCATATGAGTTAATAAATTTCGCCAATGACGTTAAGAATTCCACTTTATATACTTATAATGGAGGATTGGTATTTAGTGTAGTAGTAATTTATTAATTAATTCGCGTGAATTTTTTTTTATTTCTTTTTTTTAAATTCACAAAAGATATTTTTTTTTATATTATCCGCATGAGTTTTTTTTAAAAAAATTTTTCCAGCGATAAAATCATTAGTAAATTTAAGAATGACGTCAAGAAAATCACGCTTCTGAGGTCAGTTACATATTACCACACGTTCATTAATTCTTTTTCTCGTTTTTTTTTTACAATAGTTAAATTGGTTAGCGCACGTTATTAAGCGCTACATCGCTTCCTTTATAGATTAAAATAGAGGGAAAAAAACGTAATAATATATTTTTTTTTATATTAATTATAAAAGTAATAGAAAATTTTTAGACTTAATTGACGTCAGAAGCGCTTCTCTCCAGCTTTTTATAACTTTTATTTTTACCTTTTTTTTTTCTTTTGTTAGTTGATGCGACGTCAATTAACGCGCGATCAACAGTATAAATATAAAAACCGAATACGTAGACTCTTTGCTAATTGCCTGGACAATTTTTTTGTTTTTAATTGTTTGATTGAAGAGATGTAAAATCATTAAACTAAACAGAAGTATTAGTGAAATAAATCTAACTAGTTACAAGCGGATACAATGTTTTCTCACATAGTCACAAGAGGCGGTGATTAATCTATTATCGTATCAAATATTCAACGTGTATATGTCCACATGCTACTAGTTACAATTACTGTAATGAGGAACACCTCCCATTATCTCTGTCTCATTTAATGGATAATTCTCCCTTTGCTCATCTCTCCGACAACTAATTTTGTTCCACGAATAGTTAGATGATTCGGCGGCAGATGGCGCGGATTTTAAAATCCTATTTAAAAATAAATAAATAAATAAATATCTTTTAAAAACATCTTTAAACTGGAAATAAATACTTTTTATGGAGTAAGCTTGTATTTTTTATTCAAAACGACACGAAAAGAGTCCGTTTTCTGTCAAAATCGAATCGTTTGTGTTGTGTTCCCTTCTGGGAGTATTGACTTACTTAAATCCCGTCCGTCAGTTGCGTAGCACTTATAAAGAAACACTCGGAAGCGTTGATAAGATTTGTAAGACTTACACGAGAAATAAAATCAAAGAATCAATAAAAAATAGAATAAAAAAGAAAAATATATATATATTTTTTTTATTATTAATTTCAAAAACTCATACACTTTTTTTTCTTAACGCTAGGGGCGCCTTTCGAATTATAAATTACTGACGTCATCTTAATTGAACACAATTAAAGCATAATCAAGTTTTAACGTCGTTAAATTGTCTCATCATCATTTTTCTAACCGAAACGATTTTCTTGACAATAAATCCAGATAATTATCTTAAACGGGACTACTTTAAACGCTTAAATAATGGTTTGGCTGATTTTTGAAACATTTGAAACGCCATTAATCTAAATTACAGGCAAAAATTATAATAATTTTATATTTTAAAAAAAAATAACTAATAATGTATGAAGTGCGACGGATTGTACACCTGTTTCGGTAACAAAACTCTCTTCGGGCTATGGAAATACAGAAAAGAAATCGGGATTTAGATTGAATGAAGTATTCTGTTGAATGATCTTAACACGAGTAAAGGTTTACTGACAGAGATAAAGCTGCGGATCCACGGACAATGGTTTGTGGAGTGAGAGTATTAATGAACCCTCTTGTTCTCCTATCCTCCTAGTATCATTAATCATTAACTTTGTATAGTTAGCTTACGCATTTGATAACCACATCACGTTTAAATCACAGATTTTTGAGACACTTTTTTTTTTTCTTCCTCTTCTCGGCCCCTTTAAAGATGAGTCACTTACCGATAAGACTTAATAATTAATTACTAAGTTTATAACATTAAATGATTAGTTATGTCGCCATTTTTTTTTAAATTTTCTTTCGTTATTTCGTATTGGCTGCTGGTTATTCGGTTTAATTTATACGTCAAGTTTACTAGAGATGTCCTCTTTGTTGGCTCAAGTCATTAAAACCGTGAGTCATGAATGTTGACGTTAGATGTATGCTTTCGAGTTTTATCTCGGTATAGTTTTCTAGTGATAAGAATCCCAAATATAGTTTAAAGTTTGAAAAATCGCATTTTTCTCAACGTGTTCTAGCGCGATTAATCTATTTCGGGGAGTTAATCATACATTTTTAACATTGTTTAAGGGAATTTTTGATGATTTTAAATACATTTCAATCTATTTTTTCCAGGTTATGACTCGGCTTTCAAAGTCAAATTTCGGTTTAATTAATATCAAAGAAATATCCAGACTGAAGGGTTCTGTTTTATCGCAACAGAAAGTGTAATAAGATTATTACGGACTGTTTACAGTTAGAACCGTTAGAAGGACAAGTTGTAATCAAATCTTAGAGAAAACGGTTCGGAAGGAAATCTGATTACAGACTTTCACACTCTTCCGATTAGATCGATGAAGACAGATCTTTACACGTTTCAATAACTGCCGGATCCCTTTTGATACCCCCTGTAAACATTGTTACCATAGCAGCATCACCTTAACAATAGAAACGAACGGAAATTAAGTATGTAAATAGTTTACACAATCAGAAAATTTTAGTTGGAAAATCTCTTCCATTATTGCATGAAAGTCGGGATAAATATATGCAATTTAATCAACAACTGCTCTTCAAATTTCTGTGTGATTTCGAAATTTTCTATTTTAAAATTCTGAATTTTGTATATTTATATATATATATATATAGGCGTATGTATAAATAAATTCTATTGTAAATAGATAGAAAATAAAAAGAAAAAGGAAGAAGATTCTCGTGACCAAATGTCAACTAGATTTAGCGTGATGTGTGACATCACACCTACCTACTGTACTTCTTCAACGGAAGAAGAATTTCATTGAATTATTCATCGTCGAAGGACGACTGGGAAAACATAAAATTAATCTTAGCCTTTTGGGAATGGTCCAACCGACCGAGTTGTATGGCAAAAACAACATTGGTTCATCTTTGCTTCGGGGCACCGGCTTGTTGATCTATTTTAAGTGTTAGGGGATAGGAAATTTCGGGGAGCTTTGATGAAAATCCCTTCCATTTCTAACTAACCATGATACCATCCCCTCAATATAATTATCATATCTCTAACCGAGCTTCAAACAAAAACGCATAAAATTAACCGCGACACGTTCTTTCAATTATACTAGCATTTCGATTAATTGTTTCGATCGCGGTTAATTCCCCACACGTTTTAAATCGCTAGAAAATCACGGTTTTCTCCATTTTCCGATAGAATGAAAGATAAAATAAATATTTACTCAATTGGAAAAGCTAAAATTACAGTTTACATATCGGAGTTATAATCATAAAACTTGCAACACAAACTATAATATGGGATGGACGGTAGTGACAAAGCTAACTATAAACGTCATATTGGCATGTTATACGACTGAAATGGTTACAAGTTATCGTTAATTTTAACGACGTTTGCCAGCGTATACAATTCCCAGAGGTCATGCATTATCGTCTAGAACTTCTAGTTTAAATTCTCCACTCGATTTTCTTTACGTTAATCGTAATGCCTTAAACAACCCATAATTAGGTCTATATTAATAATATCGTGGCATATCCCCTTCTTATTATTTCCAAGCTCGAGCTAGGTAACAAATTTGTTACTATAGTAACGATACACAACATTACAAAAACTTCTAAGGATGATGAATCTGAAAATCCCCACCGCAGCAAACAATGAATTTCACATGGTACTTTTTCTATGTTTATGAGGTAGTTAGTGGTGACAGCATTTTAGTTACTTCTTTAATACTAATCAAACACTTCATATACTTTAATGTATGTTTTATTTGGATGAGTGATAGTTTCGGTTGTGTCTGTAATAATCAATAAAGCTGGAGTTGGACCAGAATCATTACACTTTGAATTTCATGCATGTTTGGAGATTATAATTGCGATTAATTCTTATCCTTTATTAGTCAGGATATGCTGTACTAAATGGAAATAAATCCGATGTACAAATAACTGGACAATCCTTGATTTATTAGGAAATATTTTCGGATATTTTCCTTCCTCTCCCTTCATATTATCTAAACAATCCAGGTTAATAACTTCAATTTTAAGTTGCTAAATTACGATTCCCGTTCGTAAAAGAATATTTTCTCGAATTATTGATTAAATGAACAACAAGAAAACATTAAAGATTAATGAGTTTATTAGTTTATAAAGATCTGTAGTTGCCTCCATAAAATAATGGATTTAATAGTCCATCAAATGGAGAAAATAAAATTTAGATAAAAATTGATTTGCCCCTTTTTTTTTTCTTGGTGGTGGTTATAGTTATTGCACAATCGAAGCGATTTGTGCTATAAATGAAGAATCGAATGTTTAATTTTATTATTATTACTCTTGTGTTTTCTTCTTAAATTGAAGATTAATAATAAAAAGGAAAGAATGGATGATGAGGAAAAGGTAATTTGCTTATAAAACTATTCGCGCGTTGTATACAGTTCTATACAGGAATGTGAAAGCTGAATCGAATGAAGGCCACATTTTGTCGAAGTAAAGTTCACAATTTACATTTGTCTTGGTAAAAAAAAAATCAACGGAATAAATATTAGAAAATTCGACGAGAATTATTTACATAAAAAATTCTACATAGGAATCCGAAGAATAATAATCTTCGATGATACAAATAAACGACTTGATTGTCTACAGTTTCTAGATGTATAACGTTTTTTTTATCTTTGTTTTATAATGGAAAAACTTGGCACTTGTTTTGGACAGAACCGTGGAGATACGGGGTCAATAGAAATCTAGAAACTTGCAACACAGGAATCCTGCACAACAGGAGTCTTCCTCGTTCTTCCATACATTTCTATTATCCCATAACTTGTGCTGAGCATCGTGTTCTCCCGGTTGTTGTTCGACTAAACAAGGATGTTGATTGATGCCCGTGGATGATGTCAGATGCCTCGACGATCCAGATCGATTACGCTTATTCGAATCTGAAAAATTAAGAAAAATTACTTTTCTAAGTTTAAAAAAAAAAAAAGAAATGTTATTTTTGTAACCACGTCATCTACCTTGAGACTTTTTCTTTGCCGTTTTCCTCCCATCTTTCTTTCCAGTCCCCCTTCCAGACTCCTGACTGGAAGAAGAAAGTGGAGTTCCTTCGCTGTCTCGAGGCATACTTTCGTAACCGCTGCTAGTTCCGGAGAACTGCTGCACTTTTCCACATTTCCCGAGTAATTCTTTGGTCTCCCTAATGTCTGTACTTGTCAGGCTGCTATCGCTGCCGTGTCCACTGCTGGAGTTGCGTAATACCCAGGATTTAGTATAAGGTGATGGATATCCGCTGGTTATTGTATCACTGTCACTTCCCTGACCTCTAGCCGGTGATGAGTTTCCTCTGCACACTTCGTTATTTCTATACGCTCTCTTCTTACTACTTTTCTCTTTACGACCTTTGACCCCTAGGAATTTTGACAGCTTGGACGGTTTAGATTTTGGCGTTTCCGGCACTTCGACGAAAGTCTGTTCGTTTTTTTTACTTTCGGACTTTAATTCGGAACTTATATTGGTTGCAGAATGATGCTTGTTTAGATGAGGATCGGAAGAACCATCTGGTTGCCTGAGAACCGTAATATCTTGTCTTGGTTTGTTTTCCCTTTCGGATAAATTCCTGACCGTGCTGATTTTTGATGTTTGTTTACCGATGGCTGCATCCTGTGCATCGTACGTCGTCGTCGTCTCTTCTTTTTTAATATTATCTCTGGCCAGGCATACCAGAGGTGGCACGATCTGAGTAGGTTTTGCGTGAAAGGCGTGGTCTACGGACAGCGATACTCTCTGAAGTTTATTATAGTACGAATTTAGCTTGAGTCCATTTCCGCTATGGATACTCCAGGGTAACTTTTTGCCATCCAACTGAGCGGGTTCGCTACATATGCTATTCATATCTGGATCGTAATGTCTCAGAAGTTGAGACATTGCCAGTTGGGCCAGGTGGGCGGGAAGGCTACAAGTTTTACTGACCCGATTGGATGTAGTCCATAATGGTCCCTCGTCCATGTCTAGATATTCACGATAATCAGCTAAGGCCTTTAATTTCTCGGCTAACAGATGATTGTGCACTTGATTGGTTTGATCGGTCTTCTGGAAGAGTCGACCTTGTAACAGAGCCCACGTCACCCCAGGACTAGCGTCGGGAACACTAACCGTTTCTAAATCGACACTGACGGAACAGGAGTCTGTAAACGAAGAGGCTAAATTAAGATCTTCCTCACTTAATATATGCAGCGGATGATCGCTTCCGTCCGAACTCTCCACCTCCAAATCCCCCATTAACTCTTCTTTAACCGTCCACAGAGAAGCTAAAATGTCATCTTCTGTCACCTGCAGGCAACAGTCTTGAGTAGAAATGGGTTCCTCGTATTGAACCTGATCTCCCACTAATTGATTATCGTCAATGTCGTCGTCTTCGTCGTCGTCGTCGTCGTCGTCGTTATCTAAATCATCGACATCGGCGGAAGTGCTGGAGTTGTCATCGCCATAAGCATTTTTATTTTGGATTTCATGAACTTCGGGAATTGCGCTGATATTTTGCAGAGAATTACAGATTCCGGCGCAGCTCTCTTCGCTGAGCAAATCGAAATGCTTAGTAAATTCTCTCTTATTGGCTTCGCTTTCGGATTCGCTAGAAATCTCATCCTCTTGATCTAAATAGTTAACAGCAACCGAATCCTGTTGTTCTACGGACGTATCTGGTACGTATTTTTCCAAAATTCCATTGAGGAGATTGACAGTCGGTGGACAATCAACCCATACTTCTTGTACGTTTTCCTGAGGATTTCTGGAATGTTCTTCGATCCATTTTTGGATCATATCTTGTTTCTGGTCGTCCATATAACCGTATATGGCCGGTCCGTCTACCCACTGTTCTTTTTGTAAATGGTGTAACGTTCGAGTATCGAATTTCGGTTTAGTAAATCTCGGTCCGTCGATCCACATTTCATCGCTTTGGCATTTTAACTCTTTGATTCCTTCCTGAATCTCTTGCTTGGACGTCGTCCAAAGATGATGTTTCAAATGGATCTTTTTCGGCAGCTGAATAGCGGTAGCTGGTTTTTGAACGATATTAATGACACCGCCTAAAGGAACGTGTTTGTCGTCAGTCGATTTAACGCTGCGATTTTTCTCTTCTTTATTCAATCTGATGTTATGAGGGTTTTGAAGAACTACTCCACTTTGTCCGAAGATACGATCTTTTGCCAATTTAGCATTTTCGTTCTGTTTGTTTATTGTTGTATCGGTTTTATTCGTTTTCGGAAGGATTGGTAAAGCTGCGGGTGGTCCCTCGTTATCCGTAAGTTCTCGATCACTAAGTGGAACCCCACCAGAACCCACATATATAACAGTGTCACAAGATTGCTCGCTGCTAGACGTATAATCTGGATCGCTACTACCGGAACGAACACCTTCTTCGTGGACTCGAATACCTCTCTCTTCTATATCGGCCGTGTTCGAACTAAAATACTAAAAGAAAATATGTCTTTAAGTTTTATATATATTTCTGTATTGATTGAGACAAAATTAAATTAAAAATCTAACTTTTATTTTCGTTATAATTTAATCTAAACGAGTAAAAAAAATAAATGTAGCCCTTAAAATATTGATATCATAACTTATACATAACTAAATTAGCATTAAGTGCAGAATCGAATAGATCTAAATGCACTTTTTCTATCGGAAGATATAAAAAAGTTTTGTTTTTTTCTTTCTTTACTTTGAGCTTTTTCCTTCTCATTCGATGTATTCTGGCTGCAAGTTGGATTGTAGCCAAAGTTTCTGCATAATGTTGAGGTACTGCAGACACATGGGCTATCATAGCCGCTCTGCAAGTAAGGCTACCGAGAACTTCTCTTAAAACCTGGGTTAACTTGCTATCTCTGCAATAAATGAAAGTTTAATACTGAATTAGTCACATTAATTACACGTGTAATATTTATTACAAACAGATAAAATTTATCGTAGGTAATAAAATTAAATTCCAATAACCTTTTCTTAAGCATATAAAGGCTTCTAGATGAATAATTCGATAGAAGTTTAGTTCTATTAGTATTAAAAGACATGCATTTATGCATTTTTTAATCTCTAACTTAAGAGAAAAAAAAACAAGGAATCGTCTCAATTGTGCAATTTAAATTCTAAAATGATAAAAATCCTACATTTTTTATACTGTAAAAAAACGTATATATGAAGATAAACGACCTGATTTTCAATTGAAATCGAAAAATAAAGAATTCTAGGAGTTGTGGCGATATATTTTATGAATTATGAGAAGCATCGGATCGGAGCCTTTGCAGATAAACAAATAAACTGAAACTAAATAAGATTTTTTTCAATCGAAACGTCACTTAAGTACGAGATGAGTGATTGTTACCGCAAAAATGTATCCATCCCTTACCACTCACCATAGCGAAGAATAATTAGGTGTTCGAGGATAATGCTTCTCTTCTCCCACATAACTTCCTTTTTATCCAATTATAAGTTTTTTTTTCTTTTTTTTCCCGATCTTTTACTCCATTTATCTATTTAATAGAGCTCTGGCATTCGTTCAAAACTTACAAAAGCGTATTCGAATGCCGGATGTAGATAAAGATCTCGAAACTTAGCCAAATAAAGCTTTTGTGAAACTGTTGAATTAACTTACTTGTAAGGCACATGTTTCTGTCCATTAAATAAAGCTAAAATAACGTTTCCAAGAGCAGAAAGAGACAAACAAGCTCCGGAAGTGGCATCTCTCCCTTTGCTCTGTTTCTCGCAGCTTCCCAAGTCCAATAAATGCAAACGACTTCGACCTCCCACCACTGTAAAGGAAATTTGAATAAAAAAACATTATATAAATTTATAATTATGCTAGAGAATAGTGATTAGAAATTTTCCATTTGTGTTGTGACTCGACTAAAAATGTGGAATTATGACTATATCCATATGTAATTGTTTAAAAACGACAGAAGTTATGCCAAGAGATAATTCTGCCAGTAAAGTTAGGTAAATCTTAATGAGTATCGTTTTGAAACACTAATGAAATCAATCAAAGACAGCTGTGACCAAACTTATTCATTTTAACGCTCTGTATATTTAAGCAGCTCCAAACTTGCTTGTAATTACCATCAGGAGTCTTTTAAAACTTTACTGGAATTTCTTTGATTTGATTAAATAATCCTGGATTCGTCAGTTCAAGTATTATAACTCCATCAGTGTTTTATGAGTTTCCTTTTTCTTCTATGACTGATTCTTTTATTTTATTACTTTTCTACCATTGTTACTTGTATCGTATGCTAGATTTATGGCAGCTTTACTTATCTAGAATTATATAAATTAAAGCTTGAAAGAGTCAAATGCACTTACCTCCTCCTTTTGTTCCTTTCTCCACTCTGTACTGGTACACATGCAAAGTGAACAAAAAATGAGAGTTTCTACTCTCTTCTTCGCACTCTAAACACATAAAAAAAATTGTTAAAGTTAAAAATAATAATCTTTATAAAACACGGCCATTTTTATTTTACATAATGGAATTTTAAAAAAATAATAAATTGTATCCAAGGCGTGTCTTTAAAAAATTAACTTATAAGTTTTAATTTTAAAAAATTTACGATTTTGTAATTACTTATTGCGGAAAAAAAATAAACCAAACTACATATTAAAAAACATATTTTCCGACAGACAATCGATATTTTTTTTCTTTCTAGTTTAAGAGAATTTATGAAAAATTGCTGGTTTTTCTTATTACCTAATAAAGCTATTTTCTCCTGTAAAGCTCTCTTTCCCTCAAAGCAAAGCTATCATGCAGGAAAAACCACCCACTCCTCTCTTTAAAAACGCTTAATTTCATTTCTTATCTGCTGTTGTTAGATTTATCTTAAGTAGTCAAATGTAATCGAATGAATTTGCCAAATCTGTTGCCATATTTATAGAGTAAAATACAGATTGACTACGTTGTGAAAAATAGGATTTTTATAAGATCGAATTTCAACTGAGAATCTAGAAAAATATCGTTTTAGAAATACTTTTAAAGTTTATTCTATTCAAACTTTGCCTATTGGAGTCTTTATAAAACAAGATTATAAAACTTCAACTTTATCTAATTCAAAACTAGTCACTATTTTGTGAAAAAAAAGACGTGGAAAGAAAGCTTTTTAAGAGATAAAATAAAAAATAATCAGGTGTAGCTAGTTTAAGAATAAGACAGGAAAACAATATTAAGAGACAAAAGACTATATAAAATCGATAAGAAACATCTGGGCATATCAAATAGAGTCAAATGTAAAAGTAGTGAGAGGAAAAGAACGTAAAAAAGGATATTTTCTAGATAAAAAAAAAAACGTTTCGGACTTACCTGTGGATCTGGCGGAGAGTGCTGCATCCAATAAATAAGCCGCTTTTTCTGCATTTGGAGCTCGCAACTCACTTTGGTTCATCAACTGCGAGCCAAATATAGGATCTTCTCTTAAGTACACCCCTGGCGAAGTGCAATTCCCTTCTCCACCTAGGGGAAATATTTGTACAGCTCTATATATCGATTGCAACCAATTGGTTAACCCTTAAGTCTAGACACAAGCACAGCACTTCGATTTCCTTTAGCTAAACTGTCAGAAATAGGAGGAGACAAACATCCACGTCCGTCAGACATTGCTACATTGTATAGTATATGCGGTCGATGACTATAGAAGGGGAGAGTCCGATACCAGTTTGTGGCTCGTGTCTGCCATCGCGCTTACAGTTGCTGGAAAATTCATTGATTTGTCCCTCACAATACTCAAAATTGATGAAATTGCAATGTAACTGTTATTTTTTTTACCGTTGAGCGGAATCTATACATAGATCGACACAAATAAATTAGATAGATCCATTATAGAAAGTTTTAAACCTCGATAATCTCTCGTTTGCCGACATTTATCGATTTTTTCTAAACTTAATCCTTAACATTTACAGTCAACACTAGAAGAAATGAGTATCAACGGCCTAGTAAGACTGTTCAATCAATTAACGTTATAGAAAAGTTCTTTGATGCGTTAAAGGAATGGCATTCAAGACGGTAAATAAGAACTAACCTGCAACATAATCCGATAAAAGATCTCTTAAAGTCTCTTGTCTTCCCGAAACTTCCACTGCAGAAACACGAACCGAAAATCTGGCTCCTGTTTTTTGTTTATGCTCGTTAATTAACTTAAATAACCAACTTATTGCGCAAGGAATCACTCCCAGTTCCTGAACGGAATCGCTCCTTCCCAACATGGTGTACGTCTTACCTACAAAAACACAAGAAAGTAAAAAAAGTATTAATATAAACACTTCTAATACAGCTTCCGAAAGTTTATATTCGGGGTTACTACTTTAGTTCCAGATTGTTGGAGAAAGTTGGCAATGTGAAGGAAGTGAATCAGACATCCGTGAGATGGGATACAGTCCAGTGGTCAAGGAGGAGAAGAGACATATTTCTCTTTTTTTTTGGGATCTTTTCAATGGAAAACTATCGATAAATGTGTCCTGTAACTCAAGACCTGTTTCGTTCATTGACAGAATTATGGAGGATATACCAGTTGGTGGTGAGAAAGATACTCTTATATATTTATCTACTAACAGATACTCCACGATATCTTCAATCCGAAGATATTGCTTCGATTTTTCTTCCGACAGCTCGACTCTGATTTTGACGTAATTTACGAGGTGAAAAGTTTTGTCGCATCATACCAGGGGTAAACTTATAGAATGCTCAGATTATATTTATACCTAGCTTAGGATAGCCATAGACGAAAAGACATCCATCGTTTCCATTTACAACAGACTGGACCACATCCGTCAGAGAATTGCTGCACATCTCCGCCTGGTAAAGATATAAAATCTGTTATAGAAGTCGATAAAGTACGGTTAACTTTCATTATTGAGCAAAAAAAAAATAAAAAAAAAACACAACACATAAATGCAACCTGCGTATCGTCTTGGGAGAAAACTGCATCGAATGCAAACATTTTAGGTGCAGAAACTCCGGCTCTTCTCTCGACAGGAGTAGAAGTGCCGCAACTTAACGGATCGTAGACTGTCACCTGCTTCTTTCTACTGTCTATGGTTAAGAAACTATCGCTACTTTCACTAGTCGGGCATAAACGAAGCATAACTTTAACCTAATAAAACAAAAAAATAGTTTAATTTGCAATGTAAGAATCGAGTATAGGCTAATCATTTTAATGGAATCGAGTGTTTACATCGCTTTTCCAACGGAGAAAACAATGCAAATTGACTTTTTTAATTAACACATCTATCGCGAAAGGATTAATAAATGCTTTCAACAATGGAGTATGCTTATTAGCTTATTTCCTTGATGCATTTATTAATGAAAATGATTTTTTATAGTTAACTAGAAAAGGAGAATTTCTCCGAGTGATCGTATGCGGCGTGAATGGGAGGGGGGAGAAAACAATCGGGAGACAAGTGGTGACATCTATGTAAGCTTAGAAAAAGTAGCGAAGTGAAAGCATAAGCTATAAATTCTCTTATCTGTAAGGCTGTCGACGCTAAACTCGCCGACAGCGGAATGTATTCCGAAGGCAATAAATCTAGTGGAGCTAGAAATGAAACCGAAACGGCAAATCTGACGCATCGAGTAGATTAAGGCAAACCAAATGACGAATCTTGACGTAGATCTATACATTAGAAGGTTAACATTGTTCGTATACATCGATCGAGCGCTGCTGCTGCTGCTGCCTGGCACAACAACTTTCGTGTGTTAGTTGAAAGAGATGTGACGAGAATAAATTTGTATCGCTGGATGATTTTAATAAGTTAAAAGACGTTATGGGTCGATACTAAACATACATCTTTTTTTTTTTCTCCTGTTTCTAACGCTTTCGTGTCGAATTTATTGGCGCGTTTTAAGGCAATCGACGTAAAGTTTATATCGTAATTGATCAATTAAAGCCACGTGAGGAATGAAGTGTGTCGAAGGTCGAGGCTACCAGGCATCACTCACGAACAAACTGGTAGATAGAGAGAAGAGACGGATCACGTGTTCGCTACAGAACATTACGGGAAGGAATTGTTCTATTTTTCTGTTCAATGTAGCAAAACGTAGTGAAGATTTAATCTGGTGATAGCGGCAGTTTAGCCATAAAAACGGAAAGAAACGGCATGGCAACAAAAGTAAAGTTACGTCACGCTACGTGAACATTACGTCACAGGCTACCTTACTACGCGGTGTCTTGGAGAGGGGGGTTGAACGGAATGGAGAATAACCAATAAAATGCCTTCCTCCGCGATGACGTCCGATATTAAGTGACGGGTATTCATTTTTTGATGATATATTTTTTTTTTTCGGTCGAAAGCTGTTTGAAAAAGATCTCAATAAAACATCTAAGGATTTACATAAAAATTTATGGTTTATCATAAAATTTCGATCCGACTTTATGAAGTTGTTCCCGAGTCGGCATTCTCTGGCGACACAGGACAGTAGACGGAGCACATTAAGAAAAAGATAGCAAAAGAAATACTTTAGTGTTATTACAGCTACAAGTCTAAGGGGAAAGGAAAAAAAAACAAGGCCCAATTCAGCGAGTTGAACATGTTTACCTAGAAACTGCATGCATAATAACTCCATCCAGATGGCTATCTGCATAGCTGATACTGTATTTTTACTTTAATGCATCGAAACTTTTAAGGAAAAACAAGTATTACTTAACTGCCTACACTCAACAATTTTAAAGTTAAGTTAATAGAATTTCCAGATTTTCTGTACAGTTGGATTTCCATTTTCGAGCCGACAAATAAGAATTATTTTTATTTATTTATTTATTTATATCTCTTCGGAAATAAACTGCGATATAACGGGGAAAGAAAACGATAGAAATTCTCTATGTATCGCTTTATAGAAAGAACCTATCGATTTCGTAAATTCAAAATTACCCAATCCCTTCACTGAGTTCATTTTAAATATTTAAATTTAAAAATCATAACGGACAATTTCGAAATATAATCGTTTATATAAAACGAATTCCAAAATGAGTTTCGGAAATTTAATACTAATCAATCAAGTTCGTTCATTTGAAAATTTTAAACTATGTAGATATATCTCATTGGTTAATTTAAATGTTTGAAATTACTATACGTAAATGACGTATAATTTCAAAAATTTAAATAAACCAATCAAGAATGAGCAATTAGATATCAAAAATTTAAATAAACCAATCAAGAATGAGCAATTAGATATCAAAAATTTAAATAAACCAATCAAGAATGAGCAATTAGATATCAAATTACTAAACTTATTATATATAAATTTCAAAAGTTTAAATTAATCAATCACGTAAAAGATTATAAAAGTTCGTTTTTAATTAACGATTACATAAAATTTAAATTAAGAAATAACGACTTTCCGCTTGTATAAACAGAGTCTATTTCACCTTTCTTTTTAACAATTACACGTAGAATTTCTCTATATTAATAAATTATATATATATATATTTTTAGTAAAAATAACATTAATTTATAGGGATAGAAACCAATTTAGATCCTCTGGCACTGAAGATAAATACAGTCGACCCACCCCATAACACTGTTGATTATTCCGTTTTATATGAATTCCATGTTGTACGAGTCACTTAGATTTTACAAATACGTGTGCCAGGCTGTGAACGGCTCACGTATTTGTAAAATCTAAGTGACTCGTACAACATGGAATTCATATAAAACGGAATAATCAACAGTGTTATAGGGGGGTCGACTGTATAGATAAGTACACGTAGAAGGTTAGACTCGATTAGTTTTTAATTGTACGCATTAATTTAATAAATAAAACATAATAAATATTAAATATGATGTATTATAAATATACTTTTTATTAAAATAAAACAATTAACGTGGTTAAGTGCATGTAAAAACATGACTAAATTACCTTTCCTATTCCGGTATCCTTCTTGTTCACGACACGTAATAGAACGGGAGGTGCAGGTGGTGGAGAAACACGCAAAATCTCATGGAACCTAGTTCGAAACTGAGCTTCACCCATACCTTGAACGTGCCTTTTCTTCTTCGAAGACAAGTTGAGTCTTTGGGCAGCCCTGACGACAGGATAAAGATAAAAAAAGGAAACACATTATAGAAGTATGACACGGTTCTGAATATCTAAACTAATTTATATTAAAATTCTTGAGTTAGTATGTGGTTCGATATATATATGTAAGGCCTGTCAGAATGGCGTGTAGCGAGTAGATATTCCATCACAGAACGGTATTAAATTTAAATCAAGGCAAGGCTGACCATCTTATGTAATCAATATACCGTAAAGGACAGATGGTCGAGACGTAAGCAGCTTCAAGAATCCAATAGCTTCAAAACTATTTTCTGATAGCCTAGAGCATTTTCAAAACAATATATCAGATGTTTAGATTCGAAAATATGACATTGTTATTCTTATACGTCACTCTATTACTAAAGATATTTTATTTATTGAGTTCGAACACAATTTCACCCTTAGTTTGATAGGAGAAATTTTTATTTTATTTTTTATTTTTTTATTTTTATACAAAAAATAAATAAATAAAATGCTGTTTCTCTTCTTCTTCAGTTATCATGTCGAAATTCTTTTGTTCATCTCTTTCTTCCTCTCTTAAAAAAAAAAAAAAAAACTTTCTATTAAATGACGAACGAGATTTTTGCAGAAATTTATTTATTTTTTTGTCTTTTAAATTGATTATTTTTTAAAAGAAATTCTCGTTTTATTATCTGTTAAATGATAATTTTGATATTGTTCATCTTCCACTCAAATTCATTAATTAAACGTTATTTTGCTCTTCCTCTTCCGAGAAGATGAGATTTCTTTCGTAATTTTCTACTAAAATTTTAATTTTTTAAATGAAAATATAACAAAATTTTAACTGTTAATGCCGTTGTTTATACTTCTATGGGATCTTTAATTATTTTTATTGTAAATAAGAACGATTTTGTATTGTTAATGATCAGATTACACAAGGTTTGTTTCTTATTAAATTCTCTCTTATTTATATTCAATTTACGAACAGAAATTTCTCTAATGAAAATGTAAACAAAATCATTTACTAATAACAGAAATTATTCATGGAATTTAACTTTAATTTTTCTCTTAATAACATTACATTATCAATTGAATTAGTGTCGACTTCAATAACCCAGGTACATTTTTGTCTTATCCATTTAAAAATTCCCTACTTATACTATTACAAAATAGTTTAAATGTACCGAAATTAAATTAAAATATGAATTTTCTATAAATTCGAAGCCATAAATTTAAATAGAAGAGATGAAAGAGTCGGATGCGGTTTATCGTTTGTTAGGATAAACTCCACGTTAGAAATTGTAGACGAGTTAGAAAAATATGGCGATCAAAAGAAATAATTGAAAGTAAAGAATCTGTTAAGACATTACAGTTAATGGCATCTAAAGAGAACAAGGCTTTCCATTAGGCTATCTTGCTGGTAAAAGAATGCTATCTACCTTAAAGTCGAGCCAGTCGCTAATGAAGGATGGAGAGACACTTCACTTCTCCAAATAACTGCGACAGAACTCGATTAACAGAAAGAAAATCTTCTTTTTAGGGAAATTTCGGTATAGAACGATTACCTAGTTGTTAACTTGAGCGTAGTTAAAAGTTATCAGCGTCATTACGAGCGTTTAAATTCGAAACGACTTAAAAACTAATTTGTTCATTAATCAACATTAAGGAAGCCTGAGGACGACACCAAAAGGGGGGAAGAAACTATTATGTCATCTGATAAGTTGTCCCGTTTAAGCACCGCCATAATTTCGTTTTTATTGTTTTGCTTACAAGCGAAAAATGTCGTTTTTTTTATAAAAAAAACAAACCAAACTTTTTCTTTTACGAAAATCTAAATCCTCCTCCACGAAGTTAGATTGATTAAAGAGGGGAATGGCTGACCAGTTGCTCTTATAGGCTAGTTTTTTCCCCCTTCTTCTTCTTCTTCTTTATAGAGGAGGAAATTCTGTAGAAATGCTTAAAAATATGGCGCTCAAATGAAAAAGAAAAAAAATCTGAATAAAGGTTGAAATTTGCTTTCTGTTTGGGGCAGACAAAGACAGAGACACGGTGAAAGGATCCTGAAAAAAAGAGACGTGACACTTATCTTATCCCGCTAATAGAATCGATCGCTGTCGTGTCTCGTGATATATTCACACAGCCTTAGTGTCACGTTCTTCTGTCAATCTGACAGAGGGACAGCTGTTCTAATTAGTCCTATCTCGACCAAGCAAGAAGATGTTTTATCGCTCCGATTCTATCTGCCACAAAAGAAAAAAACTTTACAAGAATTGATATATTTTTCATGGGTTTAAAACGAAAATTATCAGCAAAGTTTACAGTTTTATAACGAAGGTGATATAAAATATTTCGTCGTAAATTAAGTATTTTATTTCTCATTCATAGTTAAAATGCGTTAAAGGTAAAAGGGCGTGTCGTTCTTGGCGTCGATCAGTGACTAGAAGACCTTTAAAAAAGCTGTTACGAAGGTTATCCCCCCAGTTTTTATGACTGGAAAATTTTTATTTAAATCATGTTTTAATGTTCTACGACAAGGAATATTAAGTTTTATTTTATTTTTTTAATATTTTAAGCACAAACTGTAAATTTTTTCATCGTTTCTCGTAAACAGCTGGGCTTTTATTAATGCTCTGTCTATTTATGTGGGTGGATCCGCTTTATACAAAAGAGCGCTAAACAATGGCAAATATGAAAATCGCGGCGATAAAAAGAAATATATACAAAAATATGTTCGATTTATTTTAATCGTATTCATAATTCTCAAGTCCACATTCATTCATAATTTATTAGACCCGTTCTCAATTTCAAAGTTTGTACTCATTCATAACTTTTTTTTTAAGAGGATGATCTCATTCGTGATTTAAATATTATGAAGTCATTCGTTATTTTATTTTAGAATTATCTCATTGGTTATTTTAAAAATTCAATTTTTTAAATTTATTATCTCATTCCTCATAAATCCAACTGGTGTTCTTACAATACAAATTACACTGTTAAAACGTTGTTTCTTAACGATTTTAAAGGTTATAAACACTACAAAAATCTAATGATTTTTTTATTAATTAAATAATTAAAACTTAAAACTTAACTAGAAGCGAATTCGTTTATATATAATGCAAGGCTCTGTACAAGTTTACGTTGAAAGTATTTGTTCTACATAAATACAACTACTTAATATGCCAATCAACAAAGTTGCATGGGTTTGTTTGTCGAGCACTTCTAGTCGGATCCTATCCAAATTCAATACGTTTAACATTGTCGAGTTTGGCTGCAGACCACGAGGTAAAAAAAGTGACAGATAAACGTTTAAAGTTTTTAAGAATTCTACGGCCGTAAACTCGATTCAAATCGATTGGCTTTATCTGAAGAAGGGATTAAGAAGTTCATCTCTTTCTACCCGATCACTCATTAGCGCTTTATATCGACGATAAGAAAGTTACAAGATTAAGGGCCGACATTCATCCTGGAAGGGATTAGATTGTCGAAACTGAAGTTATAATTACCGAGATTGCTTAAACTCCTAGCCATTTATCACATGCAAAGTTTGAAAGTAGCATTTAAATTATAATTTCTTGTCTTCCGAGTCAATGACAGGAATATAACCTAGTTTGTTCGGTTCGGGTAATTAGCGAGACAACAAAATACGAGCAAGATGTGATGTTACAGATAATGCTGACAACTAACAATAGATTAGGAGTGGTTCAAGAGGTTAGACTCATTTCTACGTTGCTTCGAGTTATGCCTCTCGACTTCGTGTCGTTAATTTGATGAAAAATGAACATATTTTTGCCTTGATTTATTCATAGAATTCAAACGTTTCGATGACATCAGCCTTTGTCCTTTTCCTCCCTTTCTTTCTCGAAAGAAAATTCCCGGAGGATAGCAAATTACACAAGTGGAATATTGTAATATTTTTTTAGATTTAGAAGAATCAACAGGGAAACGTAAAGAGAGAGAGAGAAAAAAAACTGTAATAATACGAATGACACGAACTAGAGTAGGATTTGTGCTTATACAAGTAAATACCTTTACTGGATTTTGTGTTGGTGAGTAGAGGACCATCTTATAGACTATTCCTAAGCTCCTTACAGGTTCTCAAAGAAAGCCTTAACGTCATTGATCCAATGTGGAAGAAAATGGGGGTAAAACAAAAAAACTATATATATATATATATATATAAAGAGAGAAGCTAGCAGCAATTTTCTCTGATATCTTTTAAAACGTCATAAAGTAGATGTTGGATGGGTGGTAATCAATACGTGCTTGGAGACCGCTCATCCAAGCCACAGACTCGAGATGTTACTTTAAGACTTTAAATGGCCCTCACTTGCTATTGATACACAAGTAGACTGTTTTTCATTCAATAATTAATAACTTTGCTAGCAGTTATAGGGCATCCTCAACTCTTACAAGTGCTGGACGTCTGCTGTGTGCGGTTAATCCCGATTGTAGTTTGCTATTTTCTGCACAGATTAAAAATGTTTTAAAGAAAATATATATAACGCTTATAGAGCTATAGAAGAGGGGAGAGAGAAAAAAAAAGTTATCGATCTGTTCGTCTTTTTCGCTCCTTGAAAAAAAAAAGAAATAAAACTGAACTCTCGCTATAGCAATTGTTATTTCGAGAAAGGTAACTTACTTTAGACAAATGATATTCTGTCGTAGGCTCGTTATTCATCAGGTAGTTCGTGTGACATTATAAATTCATTTTTCACCTTCCTTTCGTGAAAATTTCGACTAAGAACCTTCAAGGCAAGTTAAAGAAGTTTGTATTAAAAGTTTGCACAACCCCTAAGTAAAAATCTATTACCTGCAGAGTGTAATATTCGTAACATAGGCGAGGAAACATTACAAGTTGAGTAAAATAGGAATAGAAAAAAAATTGGGGGAAAATATTTTTCCATTTTTCTTTACACTCCATTGAATAGTGCGTGAGGCGAATATGCTTAATGGTTTTTTTTTTGCCTTCTTCTTCTTCTTCTTTTAACAAAAATATATTGAAGGTAGCCAATTCGTGAATGCGTACAATTTGCTAAAACGTTATCTTCTTGAGTAATGGAATGCGTGTTTATAAATATTTCGAAAATCTCGTTTAGGAAACAAATATTCCCTGCAAACATAGGGAGGGAAAAAAAACTATCTATATACTTTAAAGATTTTACTTTAATCTTATTAGAAATTTGCGCTAGGGAGGTCGTGAAACCCATACAAGAAGAGCTCGACAGTGGATAGTAATTTGATTTAGCGTTGTTAACGCTCGACAAAAGTGTCGATTGGTGACGTAACGATCAACTAAAGCCTTGGGCATTGGTGGCAAAACATTGAGTAATTTCCTGGTACATTCTAGCTGATTTACAATGTACACGAAGCGTAGAGATTAATGAGAATGGACCCCTTGGACTTAGTCAGCTCATCAGGCATTCCAACATGGTCGATGCTAGTTCATTAAAGTCGATGCGTAGCTCTGTAAGGAACGTTTTGCTAAAGATAAGTTTATTGTAAACTTTCTCTAAATCGTCTCACTCTGATCTATTAAATTGTGGATTTTTATACGCTTCGAGAACATTACGGCATCATTAAAAAGATTTTTTTACGAATCTTCAATGGCGTATGACGAAAAATCGAACAAAACAGAGATAAACAACCATTAACCCACTGACTAATTGAGTCTGCAATGAAGGGATTTTCACTCTTCTACAAGAATTAGGTCGATTCTTATTTTATTATTATATTAAAAAAACTTAAAGTTAAAAAATTATTATTATTATTATTTTATATGGCTTTGGGCGAACCTTCCAGCTTAAAGATAAAAAAAAAGAGAGAGAGAGAAAGAGAGATTTGTCTGAGGAAAGAATCAATGAAAATTCCGACGGAGGGAGATCTATAAGAGATCAATGATACAAGATAGAGAGAGACACATCATGTTGGCATGCTACTCAAACAATGTCGTCACACAGGATGATTCTTTAGATTCTGCGTCACCCTTCTCTCTCTCGTTCTCTCTGTTGTATGGGGAGGAAGATGCTCCTTGTTATGCCTAGGGAAAAATATCCTAACTGCTCTATAGAATGTCCGCACTTCAAAAGAGACTTTCAGGTTTTCTATGGAAGAAACGTATTTTAACTGCAGAAAAAAAAGAAAAAAAAAAAAGTTCTTTTGCTCTCAAATAACAGAAAAATACGTCTTTTTTGAATAGAAATAGAAACTATTATATTACAATAAAGAATTATTGTCACAAAAACTATTCTATTACAATATGTAAATAAATGTGATATAAATGTGCCTTTTATTATGTGTAACATGAGAGAATTAAGTAATTTCTCTTATTATTATATATATATATTTTTTTTTTTAACTAATTCGAAACAATACTTTTGTTCTTGATACAAAAAGCCTTGCATAGATAGACTAACTGATAATACACGAAAAAACAGAAGAATGGCTGTTTTCGAACATGATCTATGAAACATTTTAAAAGTACGTAAATGGCTTTAAAATTCTCAAATATTATAAAAATTTCCAACTTAAAAAAAAAATGAATCCTTTGAATAATGGCATTGCCCCGAAATGAAGAAAAAAGAAATCATATAATAGGAACAATGCTTCCTTTCACTATCAGATGATTTTTGTATCTAGAAAAACAAGATATAGCTGGACATTCTGCTTACACATCTACAGATAAGGTTAATACAACCTCCTTTGCGGTTACAGAATACAGTACATTAGCTGGTAGCCTATCATTAACCAATGCCTTTCAAGAAACGAATGGGTATTAAAGTAAGTTGTCGGTTCACATGCAGCCAAGTGTAAGATCCATTGGCAAATTTGCCATATCGCTTAGAAATTCTCTTTAAAAAAAAAACGCATATAGCAAAATTAGAATTTGTGGACCAAGTTAAAACGGAACAACTAACGTTTAATAATCCGATAATTATTATTTATAAAGCATTTTTATGTGGAGGAGAAAAATTGGAGAGGTCGAAGCACCGGATTAAAAACACCCGAGTGAGAAAAGGTACTTGGAAGATGGGGATAAATCACTGGAAATACGACAAGTAGAGGTATCAAAAAATTTAATTAGTATTAATTTAAAGGAATATTTTAGCTAGCAATCCATAAGATCATCGGTCCAATTTACATTCTTGATGTTTCTGGAGGTTAATTAAATTTATTGATCAATTAAACATGGGAAGAAATGCCGGTAAAAATATTTAGATGTGATCTAATTAATTGGCCACAAGCTAGAGCAATGGAGTAGGCAGAGACAAGCAATCTATCAATATAAACTCTGCTGTAGTGCTGAAGAAACCTCCCGGGGTGTATACCTTGGTGTGATGGATGTATTGACGATATCATTAAGCTTTAATACCCAAGGCTAGATTGCCTGGTAAGCAATTCGGGGGATTTTTAATGTTCTCACAAAACTAACTTTCTCAAAAAACTTATTTTTTAATGTGTTATTTGCTTAATTGAATCTGGTAATGACAACCTAATTGCGACCGATAATTAAACGTCTGTCGACGAAAACAATCCACGAATTAAAAATTATATATGTATATATTTATATGTATCTTTATGTTTTTATATACTCTTTTTATTTATTTTTCAATTGTATTTTATTCTCTTGTCAGGTAAAGAGCAGGAAACTTTGCCAATTAATTTTGTGACAAGTCTTGAGATGTTTACCGACGTGAGTTGCAATTCTATTATTCGTCTTGCTGCTTAAATCCTTGATAGATGTTCGAGTTGGAAGGGGGAAAAATTCAGTGTTTAAGTAAAGGGAAACTCGATATACAAAAGCGAAATAATCGCATAATTGTGTATGAATTTAAAGGAATATATGGTGGGTTGGGTCGTGTTATTATCAAGAGACTAAGATGGATGGTTCATTGTTGCGGTCTATCTGGAATCAAAGATTACTCTCGATGTCATATTTTATTTACGCGTATAGCTGCCATTAAAATGCTATTCGGTGATCAATGTTGTACACGCTTAAAGTCCCGCTATATGGCCTACTAATGACTTACCTGGCAAAGAACGAAGCAGCGGCCGATGGTTGCGTGAGAGCGTAACCCGTGGTGCAGGGAGAACTGTATGAAGTACTTTGAATCATAGAATGATGAGAATAGCCACTGAATGATAATGAATGAGGGAAGGGATTTCTCGAAGACACGCCGTGCAGATAAGTAGCCGTGGTGGGAATTTCTTGATGAGGTAAACCCTGAACTGCTTGATACATCTGGGCCAAATTGTGTTCTTGTAGCACTTTCTGAGTAATGCCCGTCATGGTCATCGTCGGGTTGGACATATGGCCATAGGAATACCTTGGTAGTTCTCGAATAGGACTCAAGCTATAGGTGGAGAACGTCTGCAAGAGAAGAAAAAAGAGCATCGTTTAGATTAGTTCGAGTTTCTAAAGAGATTTAAATTGATGTAATACGCCCAGAAATTCACTTTATCCAGTACTTAACTCAGACAAATGGACGATTTTTAACAAAACCGAGATGTGTAATCGCTCCATCGAACTCTTTCTGGCCAAATTGATGTCATTGATGCCGAACCATTATTGGCTTTCCTCCAAGAATTCGGAAATCATTTCGGTAGAATCAATAAAGAAGCATGCAATTGTAACACGATAAGGGACTATAATTACTGAGAACGAAAGCGGCGCAAGATAATGGAAGAATTAAGTGAATAGAAATGACTCCTTTTGTCTCTTAGATAATCGTATAATTTATCCACTGCGGGCGGATTGACCGGAACTGGAGTGGACTGGACCGCATGCTGCGATGCCCATTATGCTGTCAGATGAGTGAGTATGTGCTGCAAGAACCCATTGTGACTCTGTAAATCATGCCTCTCGAAGGATTATATCAATTCCGGTCATTTTGTGGCAGACGGATCGTTCACCGACTTTCCAATTCGTCTGGAGGTGCTACCCATTTTGTAGCTGTGGCCCTTATTATAAGTAAACGCGCTACCGCGCAACCAGCAACATTTACCGATGTTGCATCTCCCATTAGAAATGTTCGGAAGTGGAAGAAGACGGAGGCGACTGACCAGTGAGTAATTAATTTATTTTAATTAAAATCTGTTTCGAAGAAGATCGTTAATAAAAGTTTTACCATTAGTACGAGTTAACCAATCGCGCACCAATCGAAAATTGAGTACTATTGTGATATATTCAGGAGTATTCGGACGAACAATGTACAGTGTCAAGTGCAGATGGTAGCCCTCTGGCTAAAGATGACATCAGCTCGGGGCTACACGTTGTTATGACAATTACAATAGACCTGTCACCATTTTGCGCAATGTCATCGAGACAGTAAAATCGCTTCATCTTTTTCTATTCTATATTTTTAATTATGGTACCGTGATTGAATTTTTATTCGTTCTGACTCCTATCACTAAACGTATGTAACTCTCTTTAACGGAACTAACCATCGGTTTGTCTGTCGCGAAACTCGGTGAAGAAACCCCTCCAGCATCTGATTTAAAACCCAAACTTATCGATGTAAAACTAGTTTAAAATGCCACAAGCCGACGACGATGATTTCAAACCGTTAACATCTTATTAAATTTCATAGAATTTACAATTTATGCCACAGTACAATGTTCTATTCTTATTTTGTTTAAAGCCATAGGACGTAATTGTAATCACACGTAACAGTGAGTTCACTGTATCTTCTCTGTGCTGATAAATTTTCAATTAGGAAGTCGATTGAAGTTTTAATCATTGTGTTTTCTTCCTGCACGCGTACAATACCTAATACAACTAGTTACAGGACAGGAATTTATAAAATTTCCGAAAATCTCTTGCAATATAGTTCTTAACAACGTATAAAATTAAATGTCACAAACTGGTAGCGATCGATGACGCTGTAAACTGTTAACGTTTTATTAAAGCAAATATAATACAATTTTCCAAAAATTCGGGCATGATCTGACTATTTAACGTTCTATATCAGAGTTACCAACGCGTCATAAAGTGGCACGCCATCAATTAAAGTCCACAACACACGCCATAAATCATATTACAAATACATATATATATATATGTGTGTGTGTGTGTATATATATGTATTACTGTTCGCGTGCTAGTTTGTACAAGACGTTCATTTACAATATATACGATAGGATATACAATGAGAGCATTGTACATAGAAACATCGCAGGGGTGGATAGATATATTAAATATTCAAACAGCTGTTTGCAAACTGCTTAAATGATTATATGATGATCGGCTTGTAAAATGAAACATATTTTATTGGCATATTTTAATATAAATTCGATTTTATTACTTAATTAAAATTTATTATTAAATATGTTATTTAAAATGAAAGGATATTTCTATATAATAACTTAATATATGATTTAAAAATTAAAAAGAATTTTTATATAATAAAATTGGAGGAAAACTGTTGATAAAATAATACAGGAAGTCAATATGAGATGATGGGTACGGTGCCAGCTTATGGATAAAGCTTAAGTTGCTATAAAATGAAAAGTTTATGTGTCTGCTACCTGCTGACACTCTACTAGAGTTTCGTGCAGAGGTGACTGCTCTTCATATCTGGCAGAAGGGAATCATCAACTTTTCAGCGTGCGGCTATCACGATGCAATCTCGAGAATACTTACTCCTACGATAAGGCCGGCAGTTATGTTAGTAAGAAATGGTTCAGGTGCGGCATTGGTCGAGAAAATACTACTATTTTTTTTTTTATTTCTCCGAATCAACCGATGCTAAAGTTGGTTTCGGAGGTTTTACGGAGCTTTAAAGCTTGGCGTTAATGCTAAAAGTGCTTTCGGTTTCATAACTCACTAAAATCCGAAACAAGAGATACTGGCCATTTTTCAACGACTAGATAATCTCACTTCTCTAGTAGTTATTATAGGGATAACGAAAAAATATAGCTTTTCTATATTTATTTACCGAAATTCAACAGGGTTTTTCTTTCTCTACTCTTAGATAAAATATGATCAGAGATGCGTGAATGCGAAGGAAAGATCCTGGCCAAAAAGAAGGTATGTGAAATCAGTCTGCCGGACAACACAACTTTGTCCAGCTGTCAACGACAACTGATAGAATACAAATGGGGCTAGACCAGTCTACCTCATACATCAATGTCTGTAGAACCCTTTTATTACCGAATTTTCTGACGTTTCAACCCATCGGAGAAAGAATTGAATGAATAGGTAAAAAACCCTTTACTTTACTTGACGTTGGAACGGGTTGGGTGCAGTTTTTTTCAATCGATTTTTTTATAGAGATTCGAAATATTACCCCTATAATGATGTATCTGTACCGTAAGGATTTCTATTTGATTTTTTTTCTTCCACTTCAAATCCAGATGTCCATACAAAATTCAACAAAGAAACAAGATGGATACTTTTGATCTTTTCAACGTTGACGTGTCCGATATGGCCGCATGGCACCATTCAAAACTTCTCACAAGGCAAAAAATAATGAAGCATTAAAAATCCTGTAAAATAAATATTAACAAATGCTAAATTTCTCTCTTTTTTTTTCTGCCGAGAAACTTCACTTAAAGTACAAACCTATTCACAATTGGTAAGAAGATTTTTATTCGTTTAACGCATCAACATATCCCTAGAGTTCACTACTAAATAAAATAAATATTTAATGAAGACGACGTCAATTTTGATTAAGTTGTTTGTGAACACGGAAATTTGCTAAACCCTATAAAAATAAAGCAAATAGAATGTATAATTTAATTAAGCATTTACTGAATTTCGTATTCCATTTCATAATTAATTATCCGATTTTTATGTCTTCTTATTTTTATATCTCGATCGAAGTGAAGAACAGAGCAAGAAAACTCTAAAATTCTAGCCATAGATAGCAGAAAAAACACATTATATATATATATATATATACACACACATACACACATAAACAATCTCATATCTTTTCTATATATATCAACCTTACGATACGAGGGTTTTTCCAGATTTCTAGAGGTGTAAATTTTTATATATTCAACCCTTTATAGGTTAGCAAGCTGTTTGAAGGTGTGATGTATAAGAAAATTTTCAAATTCAAAGTCTTGTAAAAATTCACAGCTGCATGGTAAAGTATTGGATGAATTTGATTCGGCTTCCCCCCTATTGGAAACAAGGCAGTAAAGAGATTTAGACGAGAGACCGAGGGTGATATTTTTACGATCGAAACGGAGATGAAAGTCGAAGCTTAGAGTAAGAAACCCAAAATTTCATAAACAGTAGAAACTCATAATCACAGTCATTAAAATTGTAATAGGGAGGGTGGTTGGCTGTCATAGACTCATAACTCAGTTCAATGTTGGATATCAACCTCTTGCAGACGTTACACTGTGGTGGCGATAAAACTCGTAATCATTAGATACAAGACCACACCTAATTAAAACTCCCCTTTTTAAACTTTTTTTAAGCTATTTGTCTATTTACTCTATCTTTTAAATATTCTTTAATGCTTATATATAATGTTTTTTTTCTCTTATTTTTAACGTTTCGAGTCGCTTTTATTAAAATATATCGACCTCTTTCGACTTTTGATGCATGTACGACATTAAAAATACTTCGATTCTGAATCGTTTTTTTTTTTACAAAACAATGTTTGAAATATCTTAATCACGGTGTAATCCGAGTGAACTTAACAGACACGTCGATCTGCTGTTTGTCATAAGTTCCTTTTTTTTTATTTTTTAATGTGGTAAAACCATTCTTTGCTCCTTGCGATCTCCTAAGAATATAAACTAACAAAAGGGCACTAACTTTGGCGTATTCTGGTTTGTCCTTGAAATTCCTAATTTTTTCCGTATCCTGGAGAAGACATATTCTTAATTGAAAGATAAATATTTAGTTTGGGTATATTTATAAAATAGTTTGTTATCGCGAAACACTTCCCCTTAAGAGTATAATTTTCCGAGACCTTTCTCAGTGAGAAAGTGCCATTGTGCCCTTTGTATATAGAATTAAACTGAACCGTACAACTTTTAATAAAATATTTACTGTTATAAAAAATTGAATTAAAAGACCGCTTTTAAATTATTACAGTTTTATATTTTATGTTATATTTTCTCCGGGATATTTAACGTATTTACTAGAGAAACCTGACAGACTATTCATCGATCGAAGTAAATAAAGTCAAGGTCGNATTGTGCCCTTTGTATATAGAATTAAACTGAACCGTACAACTTTTAATAAAATATTTATATAAATTAATCGAAATTAATATTATTAATTAACCTAATTAACGGGGGAGATGTACTGTACCTGATTTCCTGCTGGCTGCATCCAAGTTTTAATATTCTGTTCTAAATATTGTTGCGCCTGTTGTGCTAAAGGATAAGGTACTGACGTAGGAGGAGGAGATGCTGTAGATAATCCAGATCCAACCACTTTACTAGGTCTAGGCATTCTGAAAAAATATAAAATCAAAAACTTCGGATATGATCATTAGTGACTTCTGAAGAGAAAAAAGTTGAAAGAATTTGACACACGTTGTCACGTCAATCGGTTTGACATCTGCTATAGAAACGTTGAGAAAATAATACCAAAATGCTGTTTTTTTCTTCAATAAACTTTTTAAAGCTTGCCTTGACAATAAAAATTTTAAGCAACAAAAATTAAGTAATCACTAAACTGAAACGATATTATTAAATATACAGTATATTGAATGTAGAGAGTTTTAAACAGGAAATTCGTGCGTATAACGCCTTTTTTCTTTCCCATACTTTCTCTCCCCTTGGTTTCACACCTGTAAACTCGGACCACCTGTATCATGGATCAGTGAATCCCAAAGAATAAGTATTCCAACGACCTGCTGATAAGGCACATGAGTCCTTTCCTTCGGAGATGTTATTTTGGCCACATGGTGCTAACGGAAACGTCTTTCATTAACTCTTTTTTTAATATATAAATGCGAAAAAACTTTAATGACCGAAGCGAGTTTTAAAAATAAGTGAAAAGAATTTAAGACCCGATAACACGAAAAGAAAAAAAAAATTTAAAACTAAGCAGCGGAGTTTCCAGAGCTCTTAAACAAACTTCCAGCTGATGTACCAAGCGTTGCAAACTGCCATTAAAGCTTGATTCATTTAGTAAGTTCGCCAACAACACACAGAAAAAAATTAACTTAGTATAGAATAAAAAATATCTAACGATGCTAGAAAGTCGTTAAGAAGCACCTCGGGGACCACAACTTACTGGTGGGGATGTTCTAACACCCCTTTTGTACCAGACACGACTGCTCAAGTGGTGACACGGAGAACCTTTCGAAATTAAATTTATGCATCATCAGGGTTGAAAAATGATTCACGGCTCATAATTGCCTCATTCTTTCCCAGTGCCGAAACGTAATGAAAAATCGCTAATAAAATCTTACTCAATTGATTTTAAAGTGATTAACAGGTGACATACCTAATACTCTGAACTTCGGTACATTTTATTTTAATATTTATGAATCCAAGTGGAATATTCCGCCCAAACATTCCTCACAGTTTGGATTCGGACGTACCCAAACTCCACCCAATCTCTGATAATTCCATCTCGCTCGCATTCAATTTTAATAATGTTATTCAAAGTTATGCGCAACATAAAAGTGACAAAAGCCAAGCTTCCCAGCTTTCTGAATGATTCGAAAAATAAAACAAACTTTGCATAGAGAAGGGAAGAGAAAGAAACGCCGAACAAAATGAATACTCAGCTGTTGTTGCATCGCGACCCTAGACAATACTGCATGTAAATCACAATTATTCCAACAAGGACCATTCGAGTTCAAGGACTTTTCGTGCTTCTAAACAGTTAAAATTGATGAGAACCCAATTGAATATGCAACGTGTCCATTCTCGTTTTACACAACCAATCGCTACTTTTATAAAAATAAATATTAAATTATTAAACTGTATAACAAATAATAATAATAAATAAATAGAGTGCACGGAGATTCGCGAAAAAATTTAAATTTCTGGAAAAATAAACTTTTTTCTGAAGTGGAAAAAGAGTAAAACAAATATTATTTACCTTGACGTTGTTTAAGTTTCGAGTTGGATTGCAAATGAAGGGGAAAAAAATCAATCAGACGAGGTCACGTGACGTGTACCTGGTCAATCCACCTGCCCCCTTGGGGATCTGCATCCGACTTTGTTCGGCTCGGATCGGCCACTGCCTGACATTCTCTGACTGCGCTTCTCTTCTGCTACGCTACATAGGCGACACCAACGGCGGTGACGTCACCGGGGCCATTCTGCCATTTTCTCTTTTTCGACGGGATAAAAATTCACAAACTTTTACTTCACTTTTTACGGATTTAACTCGAGTTTTTTTTTTCTTTTTTTACTTTAAAGGGGAGAAAAAAGAGAGATGGAAAAGCGCGAAAGATTTGGTTTTGAAAGGATAACTATGTCACATCCCATCAAACATTTAAAGTTAGAGCGCCGAAAGCACTACAATAAGTCGGTAGCACAATCAATTTGACAGCAAATCACGTCAAAGAAAAAAAAAGAAATTTCAACTAGGAAAAAAATAATAATTTAAGAGCAATTTTCTGAGAAAGACATGATGTTTTTTCCCCCTTACTTTTTTTTTTGATTGACGGGTTTAAAAATCTAATATCTTGGCTTTGAAAGACGATCTTTATTGGTTCCTTTTTGACTCGTCTTAAGAATGATTCCTTCAGTCATTACCCCATGCTACTTATTTATTGAAATACTTATCAACTATAATTTATTTTATTGAATTATGTAAGAATTTATTTTCTTCTTAAATAAAATTTTTTTTTTATTTTAAATCATATTTTCGTTTTACGAATGTACTCAATCAAACAATCGCTAATTTCGAATATATTTCTCACGAGAGAATTGAATACAATTAAGATCCGTACTTCCGGTGTAATAAATATTTACGTCAACCCTCTAACAATTTAAAAACATTTTCAAGTTAATTATACAGAAATTAAATAAATAAATAAAGTCTTAAGTTTTAATAAATCAAAAATAATTATTTAAAATATTAAATTATAAAACAGAGGGGGGGGAGTAAAACATGGTCGACATACCATTTCTAACTGGCGCCATCTGTGAGATAAGCACTAAACTTATCAGTCTACATTGGTTTAAAAACAAAAAAAAACACCCTCAAAGATACCTCTTTGCAAACACAAAACACATAAGAATACAGTGAAAGGAAATTCCTTCAATTCAAACAATAACATGGCGTGTCTATAACAATTTGTAGACAATGATTGATGGACTTTCTATATCCTCCCATTAATGGACGTCATGACACCAGAACCCTTCATAACCCCACTAAAACACGCACATCCTACCAATCAAAATCGGTCATTAGATGCGCAAGAGATGAGGAAATCAAGACATTTGAGGATGAGGGGTGTCGAAGCATTCCTTTAAAACTCCTCTCTTATCGCTGGACTAATCACTCCTACGCTTACATTACCTGTCGGAATTAGTTTTATCCATACACCACTGCATGCGATGATTATATTGATAGACGATCATTATCCATTGTTCCTTAAGAAGTATTGTATGTTAATTTTCCATTTATACTAATAAACTTAATGCCAGAGGGCTGTAACCTTAAGCGACCTTAACTTTCGGGAGCGATAATACTATACAGTTTCCATATTTCGTTTTCTAAATATGTATACTGTATCAACACAATAGACAGAGATTTTTTTTTCATCTCTCTCTACATCGTTTCTAATCTTCATTGGAATCTACAGAAGAAAAAAAAAAACCTTAAATTCTACTTTATATTTCCGGAAACTCTGAAGACGATCTGATAAGTTTAAAAACATTTATCAAAATATTTTCCTCTTATAGAAGCCTCAAAGATGCGGTAAATTCTTTTAAATGTTTTTTTTTAATTAATTAAATTATAATCAAGTGAAGATGAAGATGAAGATGATGATGATGATGATGATGATAAAACATGGAGAAGAGATAGAAAAAAAAGTGAATATTGTTTGAATGTTTTAGTGAAATGTTTTATGCTTTAACGTTCATCTCAATTTTCTACTTAAGATATTAACAAGAGGAATGTATAAAATTTGTTTCTTCTTCTATATATAAACTAATAAATTATCCTTTTGTAATATTTATTATAAATAAAAGAAGTAGAAACTATTAAAATAGATTAATTCGCACCGTAAACGTCATCATCATTTTCCCAGGCTGGGATCATTGTCTTCTTTTTCGATAATGGACATCCGCTGTCTCCTCTACGTCTGTAATCCAAATTTATAAACCAAAAGCCAGACTAAATCATACAAAAATATCCTACAAAACTTTTTTTTTACGTTTAAAACAAATCGGAATGATTAAGAAAAGTTCACGTTAGTTACCGGAAGTAAGGAGATTCTAATGACATCACTTCCTGTACAATAAAAACGTTCAATAATTCTCCGTCGGAATGCATTTATTAAGGTTTTTTTTTTTTAAATTTTTACTTTCGTTAACGATGCCGGAATTTATTTATTTTTAAACAAATGCGTTTTTATATTTACACGAATTTTGCCCAAATTAATTTTTTTTTTTAGGCATTACTAATGTCATTTCTCGACGGTAGATGGCAGTAGTGAACTTAAATCAAATCCGAAAGACGCGATTGGTTTACTGTACAGTACGTAATAATAGAAATAATAATAGATAAATAATTGTATAAATTTAAATAGAGTTTGAAGAAAATGGCGACTACCTGTATCCTAGATAAAGAGTCGGAGTGGCATTTGGCCTATTATAAGTCATCCTGGTGGTGGGAGATACCGGAATTGGAATTTTGCTGGTTCTGCCGGCGGCATGATGATAAACGTGATGATGGTAATGTCGATGGTGATGATAAGGTGATGTCGGGTCGCTATCCGATTTAGGCACCCGATCTTCTCCGGACTGCACCATTTTTTTTTTATTTGTTCTCCTTTACACCATTTATATGTCTTCCGATCTGAAAAAAAAAAAACGTGGAAAAATCGCTTTTAATCAAACGCTGGACATTGATTGAGACGGAAAAGTTGTCATCGGAGTCTTATCGTGCTCATTATCGCACATCTAATGCGGTCATTACAGCCAATGACGTCATGGCAGCCATTACTTTAGCACGAAATAAGAAGAGGAAAGCAGTGGCTGAGTGGATGTGGATTAGTCCTATAGTGGCAAGCTTATCGTGTTGAACACGGGATGTCCTTTGTGTACCGTGGGGGACACACGTGTTGTAGGGGCCCCAGTCTATAGAAACGATGTCTACTCTCTACCCCATTGACCGGGAGTTCCCACACTCGTCCAGGTGATCTTTCTTTTTACCTCTTCATTTAAATCACTGTTATTATTATTTTTTTTTTATAAGGGCATCTACTTCAGATGTGTTAAACCACTAAGAAAACATATAACCCATATTGTATGCAAAATATCAAACTCGTAAATCCAGTTATAATAAATAAATTCATAATGCTCCTACACTCTTAAAAATCTTATTTGTTAGTTGACATATGTGCTCAATAAGCGTATGATAACACGTTTTAAAGCATAAATTTAATTACTAGAGAAGATTTAAGCATTCGAGTGTGAAATATTTGAAAGAAAAACGTTTGAAAAATGATTTCTATAATCCAGAAAGCAGTGAAAAAAAAAAAAAAGAAAAAATACTCATCGCTCGACTGTTCACGTACGAAGGGAGGAGGGAGGGTAATGTGCCGAAACATTCGGGCATGTTAGATAAACATCTGAGATTTTAATCTGGCATTCATACTCATCTAGATACATAAAAACGTCGATGAGAATTAAAGCGAAAAGCTTTATAACATTTCTCAATTGAAAGAATCGATTATTTAAAGAAATATAAACTTTAAATTCTAAGAAGGCTATTCACCGCCGCCGCTTCACCTTCTACTTGCTAACAACTCTCACCAATTACCCGCAATTAAGTACTATAAATTTGTATTCTTTAGTGATCGAATATACGTTAATCACGTGCTTTTTATTCGATTAAATTTTTATCCATCTAATAGACTCGTATTTAAAAGGTTGCCTTAATGGATATTAAAAGGTCGAAAACCTTTCGATATGTAATTCTTACCTGTCAACAGAAGATGAGATGGTGGTAGTCACATGGATATCAAGCGGAGCAGTAAACATCCCGTACATGTGACATGCTCGTTCCGGAGTACATCCACTCACATAATGGTCCAAACACGGTAGGACTTATCCACTCCTCATGAGGGGTGTCGATAGCAATGAGTGCACCAGTTGGACTACTCGACTGACTTTCAGAAAGTTGGCATAGTAATTAGTAAGCCGACTCTAAGGACACTCTTGTTCCAGTTACGGATAGTTGAAAGCTGAACAAACAACCTTCCATTCAGAATTTTAAATTCTTAGCTTTTAAATACGTTTTTTTTTAAATCTCGCATAAGATATTACACGTTTAATATTCATATCTGTAAAACTACTCTCCTGTATCATCTTGAATTTTCTCAATCTACAATTTCAGAGTCAGCAAATCTCATATTTGCTATTGGAAACCGACCACCTATGAATATTTTTCCCTACATAATCTCGAATTTTTCTCAGAAATATTCTAGATTTATCTCTAGTATAGGCCTATATTTTCTACCGAATGAGATTTAAAAGGCGCATTACTATAATTAATAATTACTACAGTTAAACTTTGCTTTTTGACCTTAAATTACAAAGGAATTTGTTCGGTAATAACGCAAGAATTTCTCTGAAATTCACAGGAAAACTTCTTATCTAAATGGGATCCATAAAGATAACTTTAAACTGTCGAATTTAAATTATAATTACTCACTAAATGGCGTGTAGAATTTTTAAAAAAAATCCCTGCCTAATTAGAATAAAATGTCATAGATCAAAAGATATAACGATTATGTCTTTTATAATTAAATTAGCCATCTTATAAGTTAAGTAAGTAATTCAAGTTTTCAAAGTTAAATAAAGGAAAGAAGTTATAAATGTAGTTTTGAACTTTTGGAACGATTAAATTTATAGTAAATAAATAAAAGTCGAATTTATCACGGGCAACTTATAGAATACTATTAAAGTGGAGGAGTGTTTACAAAAGTCATAAACTGACGATGGCTTTATAACTAGAGCATAATCCACAAAGATAAAAGGTCAGAACCACATCAAATAAATCCAAAAGGAATGCTCTGGATGTATTTGTGGTAAATTCATTTACTGCGACAAGATAATGCTAAGGTTGATATATTTCCTGTTTAACTTGTAAACAAATCTTCGGGGAACATTTCTACTCCATACTACGACTATCTAAGCGAGAAGGGTGGTCTCGATAATCGTATACCTGCAATATCTCACTCGTTCGTCGTTGACCATTATCAGGATAAGAGAAAATATGTATGTGTGTGTATATACTGTATATAACAAAACCCGATCCGCTCCTCCCTTTCTCTCCCTGATTGTATTAATAAATAAAAGTGTGCGGTACAGATCCCATTCGAAATTGCCACCCAGGATATAGACTTGTAATATTAACGCGATGAATCAGACTGAAGTTTCGGCCCATAAAGTTCTACGAATGGTTTGTCCGTTTGCTGTGCGGAGTAAAAAGGGTGACACACTGATTTAGACGAGTCTCCTGTCCACTTCTGTATCTCTCTCTCCCGTCCCTCTCCTCTCGTAAAAACACTGGACGTGAATCAGCAGGTTTTTCCTCGTCGCGCTGGACAGGGAGTTAATGAGATGGATTTTATGGCAATGATCGCCTTGCACATCTAATGGTTTGTAAGCCAGTCAGGCCTGAGATTGAATAGGGGTTCACTCCCTGAGACTAATACCTCTTAAAGGTAGATATAAGTTCGAATTGATTCGCGCAGATGATGATATTCGTTCTCGTAAATGATTGCAGTAGTTTGATGCGCTGATGATAAATCGATTCGGATCGATGTTAATTTTTCGTGATCAACCTTTAAGAAATGCGGAGCAGATTAAAAAAAATAAGAAGAAGAAGAAGAACTGTCTGTGCTCGGAACAAAGCCTCTTTCATCTTTAAATAATATTTATGTAACACGAAACTTAATGTTTAGTCGCTTGTAACTGTCTTTCGACAGTGTACTACGATGATACGAGTTGAATGAAGTACTTTATCCTAGTCCTATTTGCATTCACAATACGCCTTTAAGCGTATCGATCATTCTTTCTTTTAATCAAGTGTTTCTATTAATAAACCACGTGAGAGGAAAGAAAAATCTACTCACATTTATTTTTTTCTAAATAAGAATGCTTAGCGAAAGGTAGATTGGTACACATATATTTATTTCACTATAATCAGCGTTGACGTGTGTCTATCCGTATTAGAAACACTTCGTTGGTTCTAGTAGAGATAAGAAATCTTTCCGAACTATCTGCCAATTTCCAGCTTATCTTAAATCGAAAGAAATCTCTGAAAATAAAGTGCTCGTATTTAATAAAATCATTGCCTATCGATATACCTTTTCCCCCTTCTTTTTTTTTTTAAATGTTAAATTAGAAATTAACAAGTTTATGAGTTCGAAAAGATCAGTAGATACATCAAAGGGAGTCTCGTTTAGTCCGGTCCATTTTCGGAAGAACAGACTAGATCCTGTTACACGTACTCTTCGGGATGTAATCTGCTCATCATTAGTTACTCTAACACTTTTCCAACTTTGATCGAACGGGGATTTTGTTTCAGTTGAACGTTTCTTGTTTCACAGCCATCTGGGGTTTTCCTATCCCCAATCCACCACTCCTCCATTTACATTTCAAAGAATATTCTAAAAATAAATAATTAAAAATAATCAGAAACTTTAAAGGTCTTTCCCCCTGAAGAATTTGCTTCTATAGCAGTGCCGCTCGATGAAAAATAAAGCGGCAATACACAGAATCTAGTTTTAGTAGTATATATATATATATATATTTTTTTTTTTTTTCAATTGCTTAACATATACATAAAGCTCTTAACGAAAGAAGTCGCTGTTTCTTCCATATATAAGCATGGGAGTAGTCAGACAAATATTCGACTCCTACTGTCTCAGCACCCTAGATAAGGTCATGAATGTGCAAGTGCTTCCAGGCATTCTTTCCTCTCAAAAATATCTATTAAAATTCAAGCCAATCTTATTCTATGCTGCGTTAATTATCTTGTTTTGCATTGACGTTATTAATCAATGGTCTAGATTCCTCTTCTTCTTCTTCTTTTTTTTTAAAGTAGCACACTTTAAAAAGTTGCCTAATCGCTTTTTTTAACGACTACACACCCAAGGACCAACAAAACATTTCGGGAAACCTCAAACAATACAGTTATTGAGGAGTTTAACTCGATAACATGATACTTTAACTCTTAAAGGCAAGAAAGTTGTTGACGAGAAGCAGATACAGTACGCGTAGTTAGAGTTTTTAGAAATGTTTCTTTCACTAAATATTACTCTACTAAGATAAAAATTCAATTCGTTTGCTTAAATCCTTTCATTCTTTCTTATTCATTAATGTATTTATTTCTTTAAAAATTATAGAATAAGCTTTAAAATATTTATTTTGTTTCAGCGTTAATAAATGAAGTCGTAATATAAAAGCCAGACGGTGGAGACTGTCATTTAGAGTACTTTCTTAACGACCCCTTGTCCCAATGACCCCATCACCTGTGTTACTTATCAGGAGGGCATGCTACTGTGACTCAGGAACGGGATGGGAGCACAGTGGGATAAGTAGCGAGATTCTGAGTTATAAATGAACTTAGATCGTTCGTACATCGAAATACCACATTGATTTATCGTTTGTTATTTGAATTATTTACATTGGCAATTTAGTACGATTATTATAATTCTTTTTCTTTTTTTCCTATGCCACTGTAAAATAATGCTCTATATATATAGACGTGCCCATTCTCAAGGTTAAGCTATAAACTTCAACTGTGGATGTCTTACTTGCGTTCATCTACTCTCTTTTGTGTTGAATAGAGGAGAAGGGAAATGCTGTAAAAAAAAAAAAAATCCTCCACCGCTCCAGGGGTATAGGGGCGACAGACGGTCACCGGCACTTTTTATTCTTCCTTGTCTCCCTAGCCATCATTGGGAAGCCATTTTCACGAACAAGCTAATTAGAGTGCAAATCTAGCTGATCCTGATGGTATTAAAGGACGAACTATCTATTATTATAACTTTTTTTTTTTTTATGTTAGGATGGGGGACTTTTGATAATCTATTTGACAATGTCAACAGATTAGTTTCGTCTTTTTTTTTTAATACGTAATCTGTTGTAATTGGGAGTTTTTCTAGGTTAGTTCTGTAGTATCCAATTGTAAAAAAAAGAAGTGTTCAACGTAGAAAGTAAATGGTAATAGTTCTTTGTGAAGTGGAGTCAAGTGGGGGGTTCACGACTTTTTTAAGGGTTATCTACTACTTTCATCGTAAGTTAAGAATATCGAAAAGATGAAAAATGCAACCGCGACACTTTAGAATCCACTCGAGTCAATCATCTGGGATGTTTCCGAATTAGAATATAATCTTTTGAGAGTTTTTCACACTTATCCGGCTAAAATTAACTCTTTAATGCCTAGAATTTTATCGAATTTCGTTCGTATGATCGCAGCTCTTAGCAGGAGTATTTGAAAGAGTTTTTAACATAAAAATATGCTTAAACCGTGATATATATATTTTTTTTGCATACTTCGACGTAATACATACCGGCTTTTAAAAATTATAAAAATTCTTTTTAATATTCTGGATGGGGATTTACGAAAATCGAATTAATGATTCAACTAGGGAATCGGCAACAAATTCCACAGACAGCGTGAGGATTTTATAAAGAGGATTCCTTCCTGCTACTGCATAAGTAGGATAGGCTACTCTTTTGAAGTGGACGGACAAAGAACATGGTTTTAAGTGGACACATCTATTGTAACGAGGTTGGCTCTCTCCTACGCACTCAACATATTAATTACACCAGCATAGATCTATTGATGACCAATTTTGGCTGCGTCAGCGGATGGTTCCAACTTCCAAACATATCGGAGGGGTGACGACAATATATAACAGAGAAAAACGGAGGAGTGTAAAGTCATCGGAGTAATTCAAACTGTCAGAGTGGGAAGATTTCTTAATGAAGGGGTTAAGCGTCCAAAACCCCATCTGATTATTCAACAAAATCCCAGTGAGGTTTTATACATCATAAAATTCTTACCCACCGAAACGATTATTAAAAATTCTCTGAGTCACGGCAACACCAGTTTGGGATTTTGTAATAATTCGTTTATTTTTATGCTATAATAAATCAGATAATAAAATTGTTGGGTGGATGTTAACGAGTGGTGAGAAGAAAAAGAATCGCTTTGGACGTCAATTCTTATACGGTTTAATATAAGCTAAATGCTTGGATAGGCAATTAGACAAACTAAACATTTGCATTAGATCCCTTTCATAACGCGAATTTTAAGGCATTAAAACCACGC